AACGTCTTACCATCTGCTCCCCATCGTATTTACTCAGACACCTTTAAGGACAATTATGGTTCAAATGTTGCTGACAGTTACACCTCTCTGTGTCTGCCTTCTTTTCATTTAGTGTGAGGGCTGATTCCCACCATTTCCTTGAAGAAGCACTGCTGCTTAGTTTTAGTTCTGTAAAATCATTACTTTTGTTAAAGATGATGTTGTTAATTATCTTCATCATCAGCTGAGTTTTGCTAACTGTACTAGTAATAACCAGACATAAATACTCACAGCATTTGGGCAGTCCTTAAAAATGTCTAAAATCTACAGCAGCAGCTACAAAAAAGGTGTGACAGCACCAACTGAATGGCAATGATAGACAGTGAGAAAGAAAAGAAAGATATGAAAATAAAGATGAAAGATATGAAAGAGGAAAGAAAGAGGGGGAAAAAAGGCATCTGACTCACATGAGGCTTTACGCATAAAGGACCCAGATGCTTTTCCATCCGACTCCTCTGTGAATTCTCGGCTAAAATCACACTCTGGCACAATCAGCACCACAGTCCTGAGAAGACAGAAGAGGGACAGAAGAGAAGACACTGGGTTAGTTAGTTAGTTTTAAAAGTACAAAGCAATATTCTTAACCATTTCTCTCTTCTATATAGGCACAGTTTCTCCCGGGACTGAAGAGGCATTCTGGTGATGTATGATGTTTACTGATGAGTGAATAGGAAAACAGGAGTCTCACAATTTGGCAGGTGAGTTATGTCACGTAGAGTGAATTCGCTCCAGAAGGGCCGATGAGGTGTCAGGTGATGCTTTTTATAGTAATCTTGAACGATCCCGCCCCCACAACCACACAATTTACATATAATGCAGTCTTCAGGTGAACACACACACACACACACACAGAGAGAGAGAAGAAAATGCATCCAATGTGGATATTGAAGAGACAATCCTGCAATATACTGAAAAAATGACTTTTTATGTCTCTTTGTTAGAAAAAGGATGATAAAATGTGTGGGAATAGAACAGAAGAGAGGTGATGTGTGGTGTGTTTCATATCTATGTTTCTTATGTGCTTACTAACAACATAACTGTGGCATTAACCCGCAATAAAGTTTTCATTAATGAACTGAGCTGATTAAATG